CAGCAGAGGGGAGATCTCAACAAGCTTTGGAAACTGACAGGCAAATCAGTGGTTGGCCAGAAACCAAAACCTTACCCTGCCAGGAAGATCAGAAGAAAGGAGCAGATCTAAACTATTAAACTCTAGGACAGCTCAGAAATGGGAGGTACTTGGTAAGCACTTCAGAAGCATAGGTGCAGAGTAGAAGTAAAAGCAAGAGAAAGTTGATGGTGCTTGTAAGAAACAGTTAAACCACGCTGCACTCCTCCTCTGGGCCCCCCGACCCCACAACCAGGAATTACCCTGCCATCCACCAGCAGAAGCCAGGAAGGGTTGAAGTATTACGGACTCTGATCTTTGGGATACTTGGTCTGATTTAGGGCAAGATAACATTCTACTAAAAACTCACGTGGAAACCTGTGCCCTGAACTTGAGACTCATTTTTTTTTTTTTTTTTTTGAAACAGAGTCTTGCTCTGTCACGAGGCGCCAGGCTGGAGTACAGTGGCACAATCTCAGCTTACTGCAAGCTCTGCCTCCAAAGTTCAAGCAATTCTCCTGCCTCAGCCTCCCGAGTAGCTGAGAGAGACCACAGGCTCGAGCCACCACGCCCAGCTAATTTTTGTTGTATTTTTAAGTAGAGACGGAGTTTCACCATGTTGGCCAGGATGGTCTCGATCTTTTAGACCTTGTGATCTGCCCATCTCAGCCTCCCAAAGTGCTGGGGATTACAGGCTTGAGCCACCGCGCCCGGCCTGAACTTGAGATTTCTAGCCACAACTCTATCCCACTCTCACCGCGCCCTTTATCTGCTCAGATCCCATTTCACTGGCAGCCAAGCATATACTCCCAGGCAAAAGCTAAGACAATTCATTTTTACTGGCAAAGTAGCCAGCCCCCTCCTCCCAATACTGATATTTGGAATTTTCCTACAGAAAGGCCAGGGACATCTCACCACCCAGTGAGACCTACTCATTGACAGGTTCCACCCAGGTAGACACAATTTCCAATGAGCTTTCAGTGCTTGGATCTTAAATATAAATAGACAAAATCATCAGAAATTTGAGGAGAGCTTTTTAGCACGGAAAACAAGAAGGGAAACAGCAAAAAGAAACTCAGAGGAAACATAATTCAAGGAGGAAGAAAACTTCAAAATTAAGATAACATATCCATGAAGAAAAATGAGATTATAAACATGAACATTTAGAAAGCAGAAAAAAAGAGATTTTAGAAATAAAATATGATGGCAGAAATTAAAAATTGAACACAAGGGCCAGGCAAAGTGGCTCATGGCTATAATCCCAGCACTTTGGGAGGCCAAGGTGGGAGGATTGAGCCCGGAAGTCTGAGACCAGCCTGGGCAACATGTGCCCCTGTCTCTGCAAAAAATAATTTTTAAAAATTTAGCCAGGCATGGTGCTGCATGTCTGTAGTCCCAGCTACTTGGAGGCTGAGGTGGGAGAATTGTTTGAGCCTGGGAAGATGAGGCTTCAGTGAGCGGTAACCACCAACTGCACTCCAGCCTCAGCAAGAGTGAGTCCCTGTCTCAAACAAACGAACAAAATTCAATACAAAGTTCAGAAAATAAAGATGATGAAATATCTCAATAATTAAAAGGAAAATGTCAATGAGGCAGAAAATTGGATGATAACTTATAAGAAAAGTAGAGTTTCCTTCCTTCCTTCATTCATTCATTGAATGCCTACTATGTGCTAGATATTCACAATATATAAGTGAGCAAACCAACAGAAGATCCCTGCCCTCAAGGACTTTACATATTAACTGCAGAAGTCAGAAAACAAGCAATAAACATAATAAATAAGTAAGTTACATAATATGTTAAGAGATAGTGCTTTGTTCAAAAAGAAAAAAAAGTAGGGAAAGGAGATTTGGGAGTGCTGAGAGGTTTTGTGGTTTTTTTGTTTTTTCCATTTTCTATCTATCTTTCTGTTTTGTTTTGTGTTGTTTTGTTTTGTTTTTGAGACAAGGTCTCACTCTGTTGCCTGGAGTGCATTGACAAGATCACGGTTTGCTTGAACTCCCAGGCTCAAGTGATCTTCCTGCCTCAGCCTCCCAAGTAGCTGGGACCACAGGGGTTTTTTTTTTTTTTTTTTTTGAGACGGAGTTTCATTCTCGTTACCCAGGCTGGAGTGCAGTGGCGCGATCTCGGCCCACCGCAGCCTCCGCCTCC